TCAGGTGGACGAAGTAATATTGTAAACAATGGTAGGGGAATGACCTTTGGTATGAGTGATGAGTAATCCCTGTTTGATGTTAGGGGGTGTCACGCAGATGCTACAAGAGAATTGAAAATACTGGTTCTGGTATATAGTTATGAATATATTCACTACGAGCTATAGGTTAGGCTATAGGTTAGGTTAGGCTATAGGTTAGGTTAGGCCTTTTACATGGGTACAAGTTTTTGATTCATAGAGTTTAAAGCCTCACCTATGTTGCACAACCCATTTGCACACCAGTGCTGTCATACTTTGCTGTTGAACTCCTCTTTAATCTTTCAATGTTTACCCTTTGTTCCTGCTTCTCCGTTTCCCCTGTCCACTTTTCCTGTTAAACCATATGTCCCCCTGTTCCAACCCCTCTTATCCACCTCTTTCCCCAGCTTCACCCCCTGTTGCATCCCTTTTTCATACTACTCTTTCCAACCCCCCATTTCCATTTCTCCTGTTGTACCCGCTGCTGCAACCCCTGTTCCAAGCCTTCTTATCCACATACTACCATGGTTACATCTTCTATTGCACCCCCTGCTGCACCCCTTTTGGATCTCTGGTCTCAACTCGCCGGATGTACCCTTCCCCCAATTAACGCCCTCTAAACCCCTTTTGAACCGCGAATATCAGAGACACCCCTCCCCCTTATAAACGCCCTCTAAACCCCTTTTGTACCGCGAATATCAGAGACACCCCTCCCCCTTATAAACGCCCTGTAAACCCCTTTTATACCGCGAGTATCAGAGACACCCCTCCCCCTATAAACGCCCTCTAAACCTCTTTTGTACCGCGAGTATCAGAGACACCCCTCCCCCTTATAAACGCCCTATAAACCCCTTAGCATCAGAGACACCCTTTCCCTAGAAAAGCCCTCCAAACCCCTTTCCACCGCGAGCATCAGAGGCAATCTCCCCCTATAAACACCCTCTAAATCCCTTTTTCGCCACGACCATCGCCACGGCCTTCGCCACGACATTCTGATATTGAGTAAGTCATCGTTTCTAATATTAGCATTTCAAGCTTTGAAGATCTGAAGCTCAGATTTCTGTCGTAGTCTCTCAGGGATTCATTCATATTCTACATCGGGATTATCATCCAGTTGCTGTCAGATTTATTTGTTTCCTTTTTCCTTATGGACTTAGTTCCTTGATCGCAAAAGGGATCCTTCCATTCCCATGTGTTTGGAAGACAAATAGAACTGGTGTCACATGGGATTTTCCTTATCAACTGTTTACTTCGGGGATTTGAAAGTGGCCGTAAATATCCCAATGAAAACGGAGTGATTAAATACAAGATTGCGACCGGTTTTGTTTCCTTGGTGATAATCCACATCTTTTATTTCTAAGGCCCCCCGTTTCACTATTAGTCCTTTCATTTCAGTTACGTCATCCAATATTCGGTACTTGCACAACCCAAGGAGATATAAATGGGGAACATGATAGCTAAAGTAAGGACTCGTGCCTACTAATTTCTATACGTAGATTCAAATTTAGCGGGGGAGATGTGAGTGATCGTGGATAGAAACCCATTCTTTATAATTTTTTGAAATGTGCCTCTTTTTATAAGGCAAACTTCCACCTTTCTGGGACAAAGTGCCCCTTTTAAACTGTGCCTCTCTTTACCTGTGCATCTCCCTACTTTTCCCTCTCAATACAATTGTCCATCGTTACCTTTCTCCCTCCCATCCTTAGAGTAAGTCCCTACATGTTGATCTTTGGCGATTATCTCTGCAGATGTTTCTCGAAATCCAAATAACCTATCCAAAGAGTAGCAGTATCAACTTACCATCATGTCTCTCTTTTTAAAGCCCTGTCACTCCTAAAAATTATTCAATGACCATTTGGGCGTTTCTGATAAAACTAACCTCTGTTTCTCTATGCCACCCCTGAGCAGCTCTCAAAGGCAGTCAGTCAACGGTTCAGTGTTAAAAATAGGCTTTGCGGCTTGTTTAAAATCGAGAAAACATTGAAGATTAGCCGATTGGCTACGTAACAATAGGTCTATTGTATAGTCTAGCCAATGGGAGTTTGAATGGCCAGCGAAATGCGTCGGAACATAGTGCCATTAAAGCTCTTTCCTTACTCAAACGACACACAAAAATAAGTTAGACATAAATTTATTGCGCCATTTTTCCCTTTTCAACGCCACACAATTCAGATAGGCCTTCCTCCTTCTTCATTGCTCACTACTGTTACTCTGTTCAGTCTTTTCTGTGTTCGTGATACAAAACGAGCGCTGATTGGTCTATGTAACAATACCCTATTGTATTATCTTCTGTGTTCGTGATACAGAACGAGCGCTGATTGGTCTATGCAACAATACCCTATTGTATACTCCAACCAATCAGAATTCAGCACATCACCGATATTTCCATTCATTCTATGGAATCCACTACAGAGCTTTTAAACCCTCGTTCTTTATGCTGTTAATTTTCCACGTTTACAATTACGAAACATGAGTGGTGTTTTAAAGCCTATTCTAGATAAAAGTGAGCCCTTGAAAGTCAAAAGGTGTTTTGATTGTCAACCTCTTAATCCATCAATGAATTCTATATTCCAGCCTTCTAATTCTGTGTTGACAAACTGTTGCCCTGCTTCTCCCCTTCCTTGTCTTGTAAATTCATATAGGTATAAATGGGATGACCATTTTGTGGATGTGAAATATGAACAGCGATAATTGCCAGTCAATCTTCAAGTATTTTCTTCAGATTATGAAGTAGTTTACGCTTTAGGCAAGACGTTCAAACGCAACCAGTCCCGAGGTTTTGCTGGAATCGAAGCCTGGTTCAAACTTGACCTGACCATCTTAAGAATCAGTGGATTCGGCGACTCTCCTCCTTCGCTTTTTAGGACAACTATGATCGTGTTTTCATAAGCCATCTACCACGTTGCCAACTTTCCCGTCAAACAGGATTGAGTTCTTTGAAAAATCACGCCCGCCACCAGTTGCGACGTCCCCAACTAGTCCCGGACGCCCCCAGCTAGTTCCGGACGCCCCCAACTAGTCCCGGACGCCCCCAACTAGTTCCGGACGCCCCCAACTAGTCCCAGAAGTCCCCGACTAGTCCCGGACGCCCGACTATTTTTCGAGAACAAACACGGAACGCGAGTAACTGGTCAATCACTGATTGAACTACTAAGGCACAGAATTTGTTTATATAAGAACGAAATCGAAGTAAGCATTTAAAAAAGAATGGAATTATTTATTAATTTCATTTAGTAGGCTTAAAACGACAATAGCTAATTTACAGCCAATCAACACCTTCTTTCATATTCATATACATATTAAATTATTGATACACTAAAAATCCCTTCAGTAATCCGAAAAAACTAAATCAAATTGAAACAAACTAAACTAAATTTAAATTAAATTAGATTTATAATCTAAATACAATAAATTGTTAGGGCCTATTTGCTGCTCTTCCAGGGAGTCGTGTTTTGATTTAATTTCAGCTGTTGAAGTATGATTTTAATTTTCTTTTGAACTGTTGGAGGTTTGGCAGTTCCCTGATTGAAATAGGGATGCTATTCCAAGTTCCACGCAATATTTACTTTGTTTTTTACACCTTATTAAATAAATATATCGATAAATAATGGAAACTATTGCATTGTAGATCAACGCAAGTTAAGGCACTTTACTTCATCAGTCACCCGTTCAGCGGCTGTGCGGTGCGGTGCGGTTCTGACTAAGACCCCATTTACACTACAGAAAAAAGAACGGAACTCTTACAATCCGGGCCTGAAAAAGCGACGATAGGCCTTGCGTTTACACTAAGCATCTTGGTCCCGTGCTAGTTTGGGAACGGTTCCGTTCTTCTTTGGTTCCGCTAAAATGCAAAACTCTTTGGTTCCGTTCCCGAATCGTGCTTGTTTTTTCTAGTGTAAACGGTCAGGAACGGAACTTTTTGGTTACGATTGTAAGCGGGGCTCAATCTAGGGTTGGGGAGAGGCTTTCTTAAAATGACAGCTGCATTGCCGCGCCACTGCGCATGGTTCACCTGAAAGTTCCATTCTTTTTGATCAGGTGTAAACAGGCTGAAATTTGGATCCGTTCCTTTTGCTTCAGTGTAAACGCGATGAAAAGAGAGGCGTCGTACCCAAACAAGAAGGAAACCAAGGAGTTCCGTTCTTCTTTCTGTAGTGTAAATGGGGCCTAAGGAAACGTTGAAATTGCGATTTGATCTTTTATTGCTGATTGGTTACGTAACAATAGTCTATTGTATAGTCCAACCAATGAGAATTTCAACCATCATCGAATTGCGTCGGGACATAGCGCCTTTAACGGGCTTTACCCTCTATTTTTGTCCTTTTGTGGCTCGAAATATCGACAGCATGTCGTATTTAAGGCTCGTATTATTGACATTATGTCGCATTTGAGGCTCGTAATATCGACATTACGTCGTATTTGAGGCTCGTATTATCGACAGTGTTTCCTTTGTTTTTTTCAGGTGCTTTCCTCATTCCGTACGCCATTTCGCTTGTATGCATCGGGGTTCCTATATTCTTTCTGGAGCTGAGCATAGGCCAGCGCCTCCGCAAGGGTCCTCTTGGTGTATGGAATTCGATATCTCCGTATTTTAGTGGCCTGGGGCTGAGTGCTGTCGTAGTCTCCTTTCTTGTTGGTGTGTACTACAATATGTTGGTAGCTTGGTGTTTGTACTATTTCTTCATTTCATTTGCAAAGACTCCGCCGTTCGCTGTATGTCCTAAAGAGAATGGAGTGGTTGTAGAAGAATGCAGGAAAGCTGGATCAACATCCTATTACTGGTATGTAGGCAGTATTTTGTTATTTGATGCTACCACCTTAATTCAAAATGGCGGCAGTTACCATGGTAATGGAATTTGTCGTCGCAACTGGAGCAATAATAGAGTTTGTAATGTTGGCGTCCTAGAACCATTTTTACATTTAATTGTTTGTATGTAGGAGCTGGTTTTGTTATTTGATGCTACACCTTAATTTAAATTGGCGGCAGTTACCATAGTAATGGAATTTGTCGTCGCAACTGGAGCAATAATAGAGTTTGTAATGTTGGCGTCCTAGAACTATTTTTACATTTAATTGTTTGTATGTAGGAGCTGGTTTTGTTATTTGATGCTACCACCTTAATTTAAAATGGCGGTAGTTACCATGGTAGTGGAATTTTTCGCCAGAACTTTGGTAGCAATTGATTTTAAAATTATTGCATCCTAGAACTTTTTCATATTTCCGGGTATGTAGTCATTTGTCGCTGCCACCTTTACTTAAATTGGCGACAGTTACCATGGAAATGGAAATTGTTGTCGCACATGCTTACTACGTGCCAACTACATATTGTGAACACCATTTAGTTAAAGTTTTTGAAATCTATCGTAACAGATTTTACACTGGGCATTTTTAGCTGGTAGCGCTAAAATGAATAAAAGTGGCCTTGTGTTTGTTTACAATTTTCCGTTATCTGATTGGTCAGAACTCGGCGGTGTGTCTGCTGTATTAACCAATCAAAGATTTGAAACTCATCCTCGTAACTAAACTAAATGATTTCTGTTGTTCAGCCTTGGTACATGGATGCATGTGCTGGCACATCTAAAGCAATTTAGATGATTCAACTGGTTTTTTCACATGTTGGGTTATTTTGTAGAGTTCATTAAGGTTTATAACCAAATTTTTTTTGAAAAACTATGAGAATGTGTTTCATACTTCGTCTCTTTGCCAGAATTGCTGTAGTCTTAGAAATTGCAGGACTGCTAAGAAGCGTAGATTTTAGAGAATTGGCGTAATTATTGGGAATTTTGCGTGATTTCTGAAGGACTCGCGTGAGTCCCAGGGGAACGCGCGTAAGTCCTACGGGAACGGGCGTGAATCCACGTGAAAACGCGCGTGAGTCCCACGGGAATGCATCAGAGCCCTAAGTGAATGCGTGAGAACCGCGATAATTTGCGGAGTCAAGAAACTTTGTGAGAGTAATGGAAGTAACGTCATGTTTGTAGAATACGTTTGCGATAATTTCCTTGACTTGCAAGTAGCTTAATAGCTTAACCGTAAAAACCCCCCAGTTTCCTCATCATCTTCATGTTATTCCAGGTACAGAACAACGTTAGAAACTACATCAAGTATTGAGGACGGGGGTGGGATGAATTGGAAGTTAGTTGGTTGTCTTGTTGGTGCATGGGTTTTGCTGTTTGTGATTGTATTTCGTGGTGTCCAGTCTGTTGGGAAGGTAAGAAATTGCTTTGTGCTTATAAGAGGTACTCGGTTTTCTGAGATACCTCCTACCTGTACCATGCCAGTCTTTATAATAATGGTTCGATGTGATTAAATTAAATACTGTTGAAGCCTTGGTTCTCAATTTCATAAATCGTTTTTTTCTAGGCCGTATACTTCACTGCCTTGTTTCCCTATGTCGTGCTCATCATCTTCTTCATTCGTGGTGTCACCTTGGAAGGAGCAGGTGCCGGTGTGAAGCATATGTTCACTCCAGATGTATGTATCAACATTGCCAGTTTAAAGGCGCTTGCGCAACCAGCATGCTTTGCGGTTGTTGCGAGAAGAAATGGGTTGTTTTTGGTATTTTCACGCGGTACAATATAAGGCCGGTTTTGAAAATATATTTGCCGGGGTTCCGCAAGATGGGGGGCAAGCCTATTGTTTTAATAAGATGACGTCACATTTTCCATTGTTTTACAACAAAAGACCATTGTCCTCTAAAGTATTGGGGCCACTGTTTGCGGGTTGCGCAAGATCCTTTAAAGACACAGGGTTCTTAAGTGATAACGTTACAAATATCTTTTTTTAGAATGTTTCAGAACGCTGACAACATAGCCGGAAGAATCACCATTAAATACCTCTATGTGGGTGTTCTTCTAAGCCAATGAATTTTCAAAAGTTGCTCAAAATGAAGTTCAGATCTCAGACCAGGCTAAATTAGAAATAAGATAAGCGGGCGGGTGGATGGATGTGCTTATTTGAATGAAATAAGCTTTGGACGGGTGGATGGAAGAAAAGAAAAAGGGAGGCTAATGATAACATTTAAGGAACATGATGCTGACTTGATGCTGACTTGATGCTGGAGGGATCTGCTCAATGTGCAATACCCGACAGATTTACACGCCCAAGGCCAGGGATAATTTTCTGAAGGAGGGGGACTAAAAGCTTCAAACTGTAAATAATGTATATGAACCCAAAAAATGGTTTGCATAAAATTTTGTAACTTTACGTTTATTTTACCAGGTTGAATCAGAAGACAGTTCTGCTATTTTTAGGTTAGGACGTTAATAATCGTCAGGTCAATTTGATGCACTTGAAGTCGGACTCAGTGACGACGGTGCAAGGTATTTCAAAGTGGGGCTAAAATTGAATGGTTGTGTACTTGTGTTCAGTTAAAGCCACCACCATGGTTGGCAGCGAGAAAATGTTTGGATGGCAATAATCTAGGAATGGCCAGAAACTGCATCTAAAATAGAATTTGACGGGAGAAAAGCTAACGGCTCCATAGTTTTATCTATTTTAACGTTGACATAATTGGAAGGGTCTTCAAAGTTTTAGAATCATCTTAGCATAACAGCGAATAATAAACTTTTTCACAAGTGAATGAAACCAAAATGAGATGGAGGGAAAAATAAATAAACTAGGTTTGGCAATTAAGCATTATCCTGTGCCCAAGTCCACAAATGCTGCTACATACGCTAAAAAGCACAAGCACAATTCAATGTTCTCGGATTTGGGATCTCAGAAAGTGGATGAAATTTGACACTATGAAATATAGACTAATTCAGAGAATTTCAAAGATCGAGGGGAGGGTGACATCCTCCTACACCTATCGGTATTTTTGTGTCTCTTTGTCCATACTTATGTTTGTTTTGCAATCTACCCTATCTCTTTTTCAGTTCAATCATTTAAAAAATCCCGAAGTATGGCTTGAAGCCTCTACACAGATCTTTTACTCTCTTGGTCTGGCTTTTGGTGGTCTTATTGCCATGGCAAGTTACAACCCCATCAATAACAATGTACTCCGCGATGCTGTTATGGTGTCAAGTATAAACTGCGGAACGTCGATATTCGCTAGTATTGTCATCTTTTGCATTCTCGGATTCAAGGTATGTGACGTCATTTCCGGTTAGTTTTTACAGTTATGTCAGTTGTCAATTTTTTCGCCTATTTCAATTCATAAAACGCTTTGTTTGTGATGTCCGCCTGTGCTCAAGTTCGTCTTCCTCGTTTACCTCTTTCAGTCACTTTTCCCTTGTTTCCAGTTAAAGATAGATTCTGTTTGCCTTTTCTCCAGGAATGTCAAAACCGGGATAGCACCGGGGGCACGTGCACCCCTCCCCAAAACATTTGGAGAAATGCCCTTTTCCAAGAAGTAACCTCTATGGGAAAAGTCCCTTTGCCCCTTCTGTCTCCGTACAATTTCTGAATTCTCTCGACCTCCCTTCGTTTCTCCAAGGGCAGTTCATTCTTGTGAATAGCGTGCAAGATTTCCAGAAAACAAAAGGATTTCTAGGGATTTACCAACAAAACAATAGGATTTCTATCAAATGTGTACGTGTTTTCCATGGAGTGATATACATCTCACTGTCCTCTGCATAACATGGCCTAAGAATGTAATTTTTTCTGTTCTCGAGGCACTGTAATAGTTTGCGCTTTACGTTTGCGATTTTCAGTACACTATCAAATGATACATCTTGGTCCGTTTTTGTTTAGGCCACCAAAAACTATCAACTCTGCCTCTCCGGTTTAGCTGCCGTGACAGGAGGTAATGGAACAATGGCCAATATAACAGCAACAACGCTGTCAACGCTAACGACTGCGGTTACCGGGGCAACAACTGCGGTTACCGGGGCAACAACTGCAGCGCCCTTTACTTGTAGTCTTCAGAGTGAGCTCGATAATGTGAGTATTAACAGTTGCGCATCACATTTATATTTGTTAGTTTCAGTACAGTTTCAGTGGCATGACGTAGGCAGCAAAGAATAACACTGACACGGCACCCCCATTTCCGAACAGCCAAAAAGTCCCATTCAACGCTGTAAAGCATGTTAAACACAATAGCAATGTTTAAAAGTAATAATTTATCTCGTTCACTCGGGAAAGTTTAGTTAAAGACATAGGTCATAGGCATAATGATCATAAATTAGCATATTAGTTTCCAGTCCTAGTAACCTTTCCGTCAGACCTTCTTCGTAATCACAGCTAACGTGAAACCGAACATTTTGAGAAATTGGTCACAATTTTGGTAAATATGTCAAGCTTTTCTGACTGCAAAATGGCTGTGTACCCTGAGGTCGGGAGTGAAATGCCCCCCCCCCTTATTTGTTAGGAATTTCGAAGACCTTTGCTCCTTATTTTAACACCCCTGTTTCATGCAGGAAAACGTTTTGACTGTAAACTCGAAATTTAAAATATTCGAATATCACCTTATAAATCGTCAACCCATATTTTCGAATCCTCCATTTGTTCAATTTTGGGCTTGGCTTTAGCACCAATAGACCTCGACTTTGTCAAGAAATAAATGTCTTTTGTAAACATGTTATTGTTCATTTCAGGTGGCGCAAGGGCCTGGCCTAACTTTTATTGCCTTTACGGAGGCTATTTCGTGGATGGACGTCAAGCCACTGTGGAGTCTCATGTTTTTCCTTATGTTAATGACACTCGGCATGGGTAGCATGATTGGGACGTTCGAATGTGTCCGAACAACTATAGTTGATTTGCAGATTATCCCACTTCGAAGTGAAATCATAACAGGTAAGAATAAAGGAAATAGCCGTTTGTAGCAACGTCATCGCTAAATGAAGTCCGAGAGTGATGACGTCATAATATCTTGTCAGGATTCTTAAAAGTCGTTACTTGAAAGTATGCCATGAATTGTTATTCAATGTTTGCAAGCGATCACATCAATCACGCTTGGAAATAGTGCTACTTATCCATAAAAACTGAATGGGCAACCTTAAAGGCATTTGACATGCATAAGTACAGTGAATCCAAAAATAAACTAGGCCAAATTGATCAGAGCATGCCCACAAGAATGGAATTGGAAACTGCTCACATGAAACCACTGCGCGCTGCTCTAGGATTTCACCATTTCGCAGAAAGATGGAAACTGTTCACATGTTTTTCTCTGTGCGCAATTTGATTGGTCAACCGCTCGTGGTCGAGTGGCTGTAAGCCAGTTTTACCTGTGTCAAATGCTTTTAACAATCACGTGTTCGCACTTTCTGATTGGTCTTTACACCGTTAGTCCTCAAATAGGCCTTAACCTTCGAACAAGCCCCATAGGCTGAGGTATTGTCTCGACAGCAACAGGTTTCCGCAGGTGGATCTGCATTTTAAGCATACTGTCCAGCCTCAAATAGAGAAAGAAAATTTACCCCGGTAATATGTTCGGCTTTTGCTAAATAACCCCCATCTTTGAATAAGCCCCCTCGAACAAGCCCCTTCCCCACTCGAAAAGCCCCCAAGGGTTTATCCAGATTGATCTGCATTTTTAAGCCTATGTGTATATATTTTTGGATGCTGCCAAATTAGCCCCACCTCCGAATAAGCCCCCAACCCGATATTTTTTCAGCGAAGCAAGCCTCTTGGGGCTTGTTTGAGGGTGTACGATATCTGTCCTGGCTTCACATCTACAATTTTAGTTCGATATGTTCAAAATTTGGGCGAGATATTGCCAATGAAGGATTTAAAGTTTGCTAACGGATTACTGTTATTCTGGCCTGGTTCATTAAGTTATGAACAGAGACCAAATTACCGAGGTTTGATGGGGAAAGAGCCTGTGCTCAGGTGGCCATACCTCAGCCAATTCATAATACTTTTAACTGATTTTGCCTATTTATAGGTATTTTATAATTATTAATTTTTTGGAAAACATGGTCAAAATTGAAAAATTCTGGAGATAGATTTTTGTGACGTCATCATTTCGTCATCAATAAGGAGGTGTGGTCACATGCTCACTGGCTAGGGTCGCGGAATACAAGTTCAAGTGTTCGGTACTCGATAAGCACAGCTTCTCAGTGTCTTAAAGCTACATTCGGAAGTTAGGTGCTGACAAATTTAGATAAAGGTCAACGTGTATTCAAGTTTTGGTATCTATGACCAGGTCATTAATCCTATTCTTGGAAATCGCTTATTTGTGACGTAATACAACTATCAAAGCAGTTTCACATCTGTTTTTGGACCCGTGTCATGATAGAAGAAAGTTTGCAATCAAGAACACACTCGAACGTGGGTCATCGATTCCAGCTCTCTCTTCTATTCTCACCTTTCATAAGTAGGCCGACCGCAGACGACCGGTTTTCGCCTTTGGCAGACGACAATTTTTGGAATTTTTCTTCCCAATGACTGAATATAACTCTGTGGTTATGAATGGCATAAATTTTTGTCTTTCAAGATACGGTATTCGAAATTGAACACCGCTATACGCTTTTCACAGAACGCCTAAAGAGCAAAGATAAAAATCTTTTCTAAGGTAAAAATCATTGTCTTCGAAAAGACTAAATCAGCCGTATGCGGTGTGGTTTAGGCTAGCTTTTTCCGGTGCGATGCCCCAAATTGACCGCATTGGTTGTGGTTCTCCGTGTTAACTAAATTTCGGTTTCTGAGGGTGGGAGTCAGTGACGTAGAGAAGATTTTATCAAAGATGGTTGAAATTTAAATCAATTTACCACCTTGCTATGGCGAGAAACGTACAATGCCCGCCAAAAGTATTGGAACAGTCCAATCATCTTTCCTACTAAACGTCTCCCTTCCCCCCATATACAATGTTGGATTCCGACTGGAAAATGATAACAAATGTATGCTGGAGCGCAAATTGTGTAACCAATGTTTAGCGACATGTTCAGCTTCCTTCACAGCATTGTTCAAGGGGGGGGGGAGGGGGTTCCGTCTGCTTGAAATAGGGAAATGAGCTGAAAAATGTACATTTATTACAAGTAAAATCTCGGTGTTCCAACTACTTTTGGCTGGCATTGTAGGTTAAAGTTTAAATCAATCTGCCCCCCTTTTATGTTGAAAAGTAGGCTGAAACCAGATTACCACTATGCTATGATGAAAAGAAGGCTAAAATTTGAAAACAATTCGCCCCCTTCTATGGCAAAAAGTAGGTCAAATTTTGAATCAATTCGCCCTCATTCTATGGTGAAAACAGTGACGGACACTTGGGGGGGGGAACCGCCCCCCCAATACTTAAGAGGACAATGGTCTTTTGTTCTAAAACAATGGGAAATGTGACGTCATCTTATTAAAACAATAGGCTTGCCCCCCCAATATTTGATCAAGTGTCCGCCCCTGGGTGAAAAGTAGGTTACAATTGGAATAAATTCGCCCCCCTTCTATGGTGAATGTTCTCCTCTCCATTTAAGGACCTCCATAGAAAGGACTTTTCCATATAACAGACACCTCTCAACAACGGTCATATATTTTTGTCCCAATTGGACAAACCTCTGTTAAAGGGACTTCTATAGAACGGACACCCCTATAGAATGGGGCCCTCTCAACAACAGGCTTTGAAAAGAGCAAACATTTGACAACAAGCTTAAAGCTTTTATATAAAATCCTAAACAACTTTACCGCTATCATGTTTTTCTGATTGGCCTATTTCGATCCACAACTGAGTATATATTTTCCAGCTTGACTTTTAACAATTTTGATTCTGACGTTTTATATTCTGAGGAGTTTCGGACGAAAAGCTTTAAGTATGTTGTAAAGTGTTTGATATTTTCAAAGCCATTTTTACCGCCAAAATTTGTTCACATATTTTTGTCCCATCGCGTCAAAATGCTCTTTAAAGGACCTATACACAAAGGAGACCTTTTTACAAACAGAGACTTTATACAACGGACAATTACTCGGTTCCTAACGGTATCCTTTATTTAGATGCTCCCCCGTGTCTTACAAGCTCTAGCGCAACCGGCATGCTTAGCGGCAGTTGTCTCTAGAAATTGATATTAGGCCGATTTTTTTAGTTTTAGTTGCAAAGCATGCCGGTTGCGCAAAGGCCTTTAAATCTTGACGTTTTTGTTGAATTCAAATCATGATATATTCTTTTCCCAGCCATCTTGTGCTTCCTTTCTTGTGCATTTGGGTTGCTGTTTTGCCAAAGATCTGGTGAATATTGGCTGCAAATGTTCGATTCATATGCTGGCACCGTTGGATTGCTCATTATTGGCTTTTTCGAAATTGTTCTCGTCTGTTATGTTTATGGATACGACAGGTAATAATATTTTTAATATTCTTATTTAATATAATAACAAATATCATTTATAATATTCAGTCTTCCAACATTTAATGTCATTAGTAAGTTCATGAAATATTTTTTAATGTTGTTTCCTTTATGGCTATCCTACTGTGTAGCTGTCAGAAAAGTACCTTTTGCTATCAATGTCAATTTTATATTATATTTTATTAAAATGTATTATATCATTTTATTCCATATTCTATAATATTACAATATACTATCTAAAACTACATTATACTATATTACATTATGTTATTTTATGTTATATGTATATATATATGATATATATGATATATTATAAGACAATACTTTACTTATAGTATGTACTATAAAATTATATTTTATTTATATTATGTAATATCATATTATATGATTTTCTATGACATAACATATTATATTGTTTTTGTATGATATTGTTTTATGTAATATAATATTAAATTATATTTCATTTATATTATGTATATAATATTATATTTTATTATATCATATCATATTATGTATTTTGTATTACATTATTTTGTGTTAAATAATACTAAATTGAATTTTTATTTATATAATGTAATATTATATTGTATTATAATTTTATCATAACATATTATATTTTTTTTGTATTATATTGTTTCATGTAATACAATATTAAAATATACTATCTATTACTACATTGTACTATATTACATTATGTTATTTTATGTTGTATATATATAATATATGTGATACATTATAAGACAATACTTTACTTATACTATGTAATATATAAAATATATTTTATTTATATTATGTAATATTATGTTTTATTAATGTCATATAGCATATATCATTCATGTCATATCATATCATATTGTGTTGTTTTTGTATTATGCTATTTTGTGTTATATATACAATATTAAATCATATTTCATTTATAATCCTACTGTAATAGAATCCCATTGTACTTTATCGCACCATATCATATTGTTATAATTGATATCATCTTTTGCACTGTAATCCTACTGTAATAGAATCCCATTGTACTTTATCGCACCATATCATGTTCTATGCGATATCATCTTTTGCACTGTAATCCTACTGTAATAGAATCCCATTGTACTTTATCGCACCATATCATATTGTTATATTTGATATCATCTTTTGCACTGTAATCCTACTGTAATAGAATCCCATTGTACTTTATCGCACCATATCATATTGTTATATTTGATATCATCTTTTGCACTGTAATCCTACTGTAATAGAATCCCATTGTACTTTATCGCACCATATCATATTGTTATAATTGATATCATCTTTTGCACTGTAATCCTACTGTAATAGAATCCCATTGTACTTTATTGCACCATATCATATTGTTATATTTGATATCATCTTTTGCACTGTAATCCTACTGTAATATCATCCCATTGTACTTTATTGCACCATATCATGTTCTATGCGATATCATCTTTTGCACTGTAATCCTACTGTAATAGAATCCCATTGTACTTTATCGCACCATATCATATTGTTATATTTGATATCATCTTTTGCACTGTAATCCTACTGTAATATCATCCCATTGTACTTTATCGCACCATATCATGTTCTATGCGATATCATCTTTTGCACTGTAATCCTACTGTAATATCATCCCATTGTACTTTATTGCACCATATCATGTTCTATGCGATATCATCTTTTGCACTGTAATCCTACTGTAATATAATCCTACTGTACTTTATTGCATCGTTGTTGTAAAGTCTAGGTCGGAGCATAGAGAAAATCCATTTGTGAGATTATGTACGTGATTTTCGTAACAAAAACGTGCTTACTACACACTCAGCCACAATAGCCAACTAACTAACCCTTGAGGTCATGTGACGAAGCGATTTATCACGAAAGACATGTCAACGCAGTGGTCAACGGAGAAAGACTGGGGACCACCCTATTCCCAGGACTTGATCGCTCCAACAATCGTATCATAGTGCTCTATGCGATATCACCTTTTGCACTATAATCCTACTGTAATATCGTCCTACTGTACTTTATCGCATCCGCATCATATCAAATTATTCTATTGGATATCATCTTTTGTACTGTAATCCTATTGTAATATCATGCTTCTGTACTTTGTATTTTATCCTGCTACAGGTTCGAGAAGGATATTCATTACATGCTCGGTGTTTACCCGAGCTTGTACTGGAAAATCATGTGGAAGTATGTTGCTCCTTTCTTACTGGTTAGCATCGTAATTGCTAGTATGTATGGGCTGATATCGAAAACAATTGGATACGAAGCTTGGAGTGCTGTAGAGGTTAGCTATCTTATAATACATTTATTTCTCAAATCTACCAGTTTGTAGCGGTTTGACAAGAGATGGAATGCCCTTCTTAGAAGGGAATCTCCTTCTGTCGGGGAAATTGCCTTCTCGTGAGGGAATCATCTGCTAATGAGAAGATTCTCTCTTCATAGACCATTCTCTTCATCTTAGGAATCCCCTGCAATAAAGCGTTAAGCAGATACATGCATTTTTAAACTTTTCATATCTACCAGCTTCAGAAGATTTGACAACAAATGAATTCCCCTTATGCCAAGGGAATCGTTTTCTTCTCATGAGGGAATCATCTGCTAATGAGAAGATCTTCTCTTCATAGACAATTCTCTTCATCTTATGAATCCCCTGCATTTTAAACTTTTCATATCTACCAGCTTCAGAAGATTTGACAACAAATTAATTCCCCTTCTTCCAAGGGAATCGTTTTCTTCTCATGAGGGAATCATCTGCTAATGAGAAGATCCTCTCTTCATAGACAATTCTCTTCATCTTAGGAATCCTCTGCAATAAAACGTTAAGCAGATACATGCATTTTTAAACTTTTCATATCTACCAGCTTCAGAAGATTTGACAGCAAACGAATTCTCCTTCTTCCAAGGGAATCGTTTTCTTCTCATGAGGGAATCACCTGCTAATGAGGAGATCCTCTCTTTGTAGACAATTCCCTCCACTGCAGAAATTCTTTACAGTAAATCCTAGACAAATACATACACTTCTTTTATTAACGATAAAAATTTTTAAGCTGCTACTCTGATTTTCTTGTTTTGTGTATGCTTATTGAATCACAACTTGTTTACAAGACATATTTGGTAATGAAGAGATCTGCTAAAGGCATCGAGTCAGGATGAAAGGAAAAGGGTATTCCCAAATGCTTTTTTCTTGCTGCAAGGCTATTGGTTGGCCTGACACTGTTCACATGACTCACTTCGTACTGATTTACACTGATCTCATGACTCACTTCGTACTGATTTACACTGATCACATGACTCACTTCATACTGATTTACACTGATCACATGACTCACTTCGTACTGATTTACACTGATCACATGACTCACTTCGTACTGATTTACACTGATCACATGACTCACTTCGTACTGATTTACACTGATCACATGACTCACTTCGTACTGATTTACAAAACAGTTTCCATCAAAAGCAGAGATCACATGAGAAAACAGCAATCACGTCAAAAGCAAATGACCTCTTATAGAGAAGACCTGTTTACCATGACTCGATGCCTTTAATTAGTCTATCATATAGAACTCAACTTGTTTTGGTGTGTAGATCACAGAGTTTTAGGGTTAATGGCATCATCAGGCAAATTCTTTTTCTAGATATAGCAGACAATTTTATACAGGCAATTATTATCTAAATGTAATTATTCCAGGCAAAAATTCATTAAAAATTTTTTAACAAAGTAAAAAAAATTGAAAAAATTAAGGAGTTAAAAATTTAAAAAAACATAAATTTAAAAACAATTAAAAAATGAAAAAAAAATTTAAAAAAATTGAGAAAATTCAAAAAAAATTTAAAAAATTAAAACAAAATTTAAGAAAATTAAAGAAGATTACAATTTTTTTAGATGTTGCAGACGATTTTTATACAGATAAAAAATGTCTTTTTTGCAGGCAAAAGTCATTGTAAACAAACCGTACCCAGGCTGGGGTGAGGCGCTGTGTTTTATTCTCATTAGCGCCTCTGCAATCTTCATACCAATTGTCGCTGTCTTGAAGAAATACGACTTGTTTAATATCAGAGACAAAGGAATGGATGAACATACAATCCACATGCAAAAAGCTGGCGTTGAGGAGGAGCTTCACGTGAACCCAAAAAATATTACGTCATCTCTTTCAACGGTTCCACTGACAGAATTTCAGTAGATAGGTGTGTGTACTTTTGTGTATTGTTTTCCTGCAGCATGTCATGACGTCATATTTTGACTGTTGGTGTCATATAACGTGGTACACTTTCAATAAGACGGGGGGTCACTAACTGTTTGTACAAAGGCTGATAGACAAGATCGGCAAGAAAGTTTTTGGAATTATTGCCAGATTGTTATAGAGATAAGAATCCGTTAGATAAAAACAAGATCAAGTCACTTAAGTTCTAATTCACTCAACTACATCGTAAACAAAGCAATATAGAGTTGTTAAGTGATGACGTCACGAAAATCTACTTTTATAATTTTTGAAATTTTTTCCAATAACTTGAAAGAGCATCATGAAATACTTTTAAATCTGCAAAATCAGTTAAAGGTATTACGAATTAGCTGAGATATGGCCACATGAGCACAAGCTCTGGCCCCATCAAACCTCTGTAATTTGGTCTCAGTTCATAACTTTATGAACTGAGCCAAAATAACAGTAATCCGTTAGCAAACTTGAAATCTTCTATTGGCCATAGCTCACCCAATTTTTGACAAATTTAACTGATTTTGCATATATGGGAGTATTTTATGGTGTTCTTTCATGTTATGTGGTCAACATTTGAAAATTCTAAAAATAGTTTTATGTGACGTCACACTTGAGAACTCTATTGCCCGTTGAAATGGTCATGTGATACAACCATGTGCTACTACGGTCAGGTGACCTGACTTCACGATGCCTTGAATTTGAAGATTTTCTTTGATAGATTTTCAAGAATTGTTCAATTGGGTAATTATTCCTACTCACGAATGTTATGAACTAGTTTTTCGGTAATTTTTATAAATGTTTTGTTCCTTCCATCGACAGGGAAAAACAGAGCCTCGAGACAACTGACAATAAGTACAAAAATAGGCGAAGAAGAGAGAAATTATAGGTAAAAATTAATTGTGATTTTCTATTCCTATATGTACCTTTGTTTTGATTAATAAAGGGGAGAAAAAACTTCTAGGGTGCAGAAACAGGAAGTCGAGTGACGTCAGCAAGCGTGAGATAAGCTGACTGAGCTCCGTGTGCTGCGCAGTTTTACTATATAATATATATAAACACATATTTATAAATCTTTTGAAATATGTTGTTTTGGAGTTACTTGTACCCAGAGATATATCTAGCGTATTCAAGTGAAGATGAAAGGTCAAAGGTCAAATAGGCACACTGTTAAATTTTCAGTTGGGCTAATTTCCAGTGTACTCCTCAAATCTGCACTTTTTATCTCCGAAGTTAAGTTTTTAATTAATTGTGCTGGCGAATTATCAGATTTGGTGACCGTTCAGTCACTAGCTGATGTTGGACGCCTGTTTTATGGTACCTGACGATTGTGCCATTGTGTACCAACGAGTTTTTGCGAAATATCAACGCCCCTTCCTTTTCCATCCCCTATGTTATAAAAAGCAATATAAGGAGGATAGTCAAATATGTCTTAGATGCCACTCTTTACTGAATGATATCTTTGAGTGTACAACTAGACTTGAAACACAACTAGATAAAAGATTGTGATTGTTAAGAGGTAGTTAACTCGATTGTGTAGCATTGCTAGTTTAATGATTTCTAAGGCTGCAGAGATGCTGTTTTTATGGCATCAGTGCAAAACTAGATTCCTTCAGTACTATTTTTGAGACTTATTTTCAATGAGTTTAGGAGCTGTGTTGATAGAGATAAAATTCCTGTTGATGGTTTTAAGACTCCCAGTGAGTAGTAGAATTAAGTGTTAAGTCATGTACAAAGCTTTATGTTACAGAACTAAAGTGATTTTATGGTTATCCGGAGGGCAAAATCCATAGGTCATCAGCAGGCCCAATTCATTGGTCATCAGCGGGCCAATGTACTTGGTTCTCAGGCAATGAAATTCTCCCATATATGCTTGAAAAAAATCAGGTGTTAGCAAAAGTCCAAAAGTATTATGAAGTCCACAAGAGGTCTACATGCATAGTTGACCCAAATGTTAGATTCCATCATAGGTAGCCCAAACGGTATTGGCAGTAAAAAAACATTATTATCCCCATAACTCAAACCTCATGGGAACGATGAAATTCGTTCAAGTTGACATAGGGCTCAGGTTTTGGGAATTAAATTGTATCCAGTTTTCACCGCAATTTTTAGCCTGATTTAATGTAAGATAATTATTCCATATTTTCCTCCGTATGTTCTTAATTGCCTAGATTCCACTGTAGAAGCATCAAATTCAGTGGGTCTAAAATATGTTTTAATTGTTATTTCTCTCTGAATCTTTAAGTTTTAGCAAGCTGATGTCTGTTGTTTGACATCTAATTTTTCCCCTTTGACCTTTTAAATCTCCCCTTTGACCTTTGAACTTTCTCATTTGACCTTTTAAATATCCTCTTTGGCCTTTTCTTCTTGGTTCTGCCCTTTCGCTTCATTGCCTTTCCCTATCTGTAATCCTTTTAGTATATCAATTCTGTTATATAATCAAGCTTAGTATGAAACGATCGTAAATTTCTGTAAATAAATGATGCAAATACTGAACAAAGAGTTGTTGTAGAGTCGCAAGCTCGAAGTGTTCCTTTATCTCTTTTGTTACAGCAAGGACATTATGAAATTGCGAATTGTTTGGTTTCAGTCTTCTGCGTTATTGACAGACGCAGTGGCGGCTTAACCATCACTATCAGTCAACAATTGGCCAGTCAGCGAGCATGATATCAACTTTAGTTTCTGTCGATTACCTTAAAGGTAATGTTTCCATATAAAAGGACTGCGTATACCCAACCTGTCAAGCTACCTATCAAAATAACAGTTTTGGTAGTATTCTTGCGATGCTAAACTGTTCGCATGAAAAGCTAACCTCGCAGCAGGATAAATAAACAGAACGACCGTAATGACTGGGGCGATGACAACAAAAATCACATGTTTCTAAAAACCCCCGCAGAGTCGCTTGCTATAGCTGGACACATTACCTTTAAAGTCACAAATAGGAAGGAAACCTAGATCTAACAGCAGAGGAAACCTAGGCGAGCAGAAAATGTCTCTGTTCGGTTTAACCAAGTCGAGCTCACTTTGAAAATCGCCAGATTTTTACTAGCCTCGGTTTCACGGTTGATTCCGTCACACGACCATGCAATTCAGTTGGCTCAAATTTCATAATGTTCTTAAATTAATTTTCTTTGTTATTCGCGTCGAAACTTTTGCAAAGTTTTAGACTATTTCAATAATACAAACTTGTTACTCGCAATGTGTTTGTAAGCAGGTGAACTATTTTATTACTGATTTTAGCGATAATTAGCGATATTGATAAAACTAGCTTTCATATTGATTTGCAATATTTTGCGGGATGATTTTTAACACTTATATACTGTTTCCTTAAGTAAATCAGTCGTTTACGCGTATGTTGTGAAACCTGTTAGCGAAGAAGACGTCATAAATTATGTGCGCATCAGTAAAGCTTTGAAGCGTCATGGTGCCGTCATAATGATGTCATCGTGACGTCATCATGACGTCATGGCCATACCTGATCAAAAAACTACCTAAACACCATTTCTGATGATTTAAATATCCAATCAGTTTTGCAACAAAGGAGAGTTTATACATAAGTGACATTCGCAATTCCCGTTTTCCCGACACACATTTACTGACTCTTCTTCGACCGATTTTTTAACGTTGAATGATCAAATAGGTTCGAAACACTGATTTTAAAAAGACTGGATCGAGCCTATATTTTGACAAGAATGTTGTCCTTTGAGAGAAGAGCCAATCTGAGGAGAGAGCGTTTACTATCACTCCCAGCAATGTTTTCAGCTGAATTAATCCTTTGTCAAAAACCAAACTGGATTAATCCTTTGTCAACATTGCCTCTCACCTACATATATCATTCAAGCAATTTAGGCCCTTTTTCTTTTGAAATCGAGGAGACATCAAACTTTGGTGTTTGAAGACAATAAGAAACTCGATCCAGTCTTTTTTCGATCGGTGGTTAGAAATCATTTTCTTCTAATGTCTTTGGCTGCAGCTTTGCAAATTTGCTGTTGTTGTTGTTATTGTGTTGTTGTTGTTGATAATGTTGTTGTTGTTGTTTATAATTTTGTTGTTGTTGTTGTTGTTGTTGTTGCTAGGGAGCCATCCAAATCTCAAGTTTTGCTAGTAAAGATCAGTCATAAATGTTGGCATGAAATGTTATTAAGAAGTGCAAGGGGATTTACTTCCGTAGGTTTTTGACAACCTTTCAGCGTTCTAGAGTTCAGTGCCCACCCTCAAAAAGAAACCTATTTCTTCAAACCCATTCGCACATCCCTGTAACTCGCAACAAATGTACAGATGTGTGAAAACCCCTTAAATTAAAGTAAAAAAACCATATTGTTATGCATTGATCTTCAGAAATCAAATAGGAGACTATTTTTCGCGCGCATATACTAGATCTCGGATTATGAACCAGGTTCAGAATGCACTAATCAGGATTACTGTCAGATTCCGCGTTTTTGGTTTGAGTGACTATCTCAGACAAACTCATTTCATTTATGTTTTTCTGACAAACCAAGCCGCAGGACCGCGTGGAATGATTTTAAATATCTTAATTTCGCTTGGCTGTCTGGTGTATTACCGCTTAATCTGGTTCAAGGATAAGACATGTTTGGGTTAGACTATGAAAGGATCAGGTATCTAGTAGATTGCGAAAGATTATCCGGATTGGTAATGTATCCGCCTATCTTACTGTTTGATGTCGCAAAGGATAATCCCAAGCAAAATTGATTCATAAGTTGTAGTGTTCTGTCTAGTAAACTCAGACCGGTGATTAGTTTCAGTTAATCTGCAACAGCTATTTAAGAGAGAATCTAAGATAATCCAGATTTGTGATGAGGAATCTGTTAAGCATCTGAAATAATCCAGACTATGAGAAGTCTGGTAGGCCCCTGCGGATTTGTCATTTTTTAAATTCATGTTAACGAAGCCTCTAAAACGCCAAATTTTTGTTTTTTACATCTGTTTTTAAAGTTGCTCACGTCTTCTGAACCTGGTTGATATCCTCTTGAAACAGCCTCCGTATGAATTTTGAATACCCTCGTTTCATTTGTCCGCGAAGCTTTGAAGTATAGAAAAGATTTGAGATGGGCCTAATCCTTGTGGTAATTTATTTCTGTAACATTGTCCAACTTTGAAACGTTGCTTTGTTTATCTTTGCTTTTATCGAGTTGAATTTCTGTTGTACTTTGACATGTAATCTTGATTTCTGATAAATCAAACTTCTTTGTTCACCTTTGACCTTTTGATGTGTTGACCTTTGATCTTTGATATTTACCGCATCAGTGTTTGAAATCGGACTAACTTTGTTGAGTTTCCATAGCCACAACCTTACTAAAGCCCAGGGAGGTAGGAAGAGAGGGCAAGGGAGCCTGGGCCCCCCGATATTCTAGGGAGCCCCCAAACCAAAACGTTTGCCGAGTTTGAAAATGTGCACATGTTGCCTTTTGACCCTCTCTCAAATGACTCAATAATTAGTTTTCATCATGTTGTGTATTACCTCTGTACGTCATTTCTACTACAGTCGTTTCTATTTGTTGGTAAATAAAATTTTGCCCCCCTCCCCCAAATGTCAAAATCCTAAATGCCCCTATGCTAAAGCTTATGGTGCATCTTATTCGTTGAACCTCCATTAAAGGTTATGTGTCCATATAAAAGGACTGCGTATACCCAACTTGTCAAGCCACCTATCAAAATAACGGTTTGCGATTGGTTAGTATTCTCGCAATGCTAAACTGTTCACATGAAAAGCTAACCTCGCAGCAGTATAGATAAACAAAACGACCGTAATGGCTGGGGCGATGACATGAAAAATCACATGTTTCTAAAAAGCCCCGCAGAGTAGCTTGCTTCAGCTGGACACATTACCTTTAACTGGCAAAATTAAACAACGGACACCTTTCACCGATCGACAGGTATTTTGGTTCCAAATGGTCATAACGCTCTCCCGTGAACCTCTGTACAAAGGATAACTCTATACAAGTGAGAGTTACAATGATCTAAACTTTCCCGCCCATTGTATGTTCTGTGCACAAAAATTTGTTCTCAAATATATTTTGCGCCAAAGGACCAAGTAAAGTGCTGTGATAACTATCTTGGCACTTTTTGTGCCAAATCGTCTAATTTGCTTCAAGATTCGGTCCTCTTTTTAACCCTACATCAACCGAGTCAAGTATTAAAAGGCATCGAGTCATGATAAAATGGATTGGGTATACCCTAAGTGCCAAAATCCGCTGAGTCATGATTTTCATGCCTGCGATGCTATTGGTTGATCTGAAACTGGTCAACAACGGATGCAAATATCACATGAAACAGCAGCGATCACGCCGAAACCAAATGAAAAGGCCTATTTACCATGACTCAATGCCTCTAATGACAGTCACACTGGTTCAGTGTCCAATCAGAGGCCTTTGATTGGTTAATTGGTTAAGACAGCCTGTATGTAGCCAGCGTATCTGCTGGAATACTCCTCGGAACAATAAAAATGGGTCACAAAAACCTGGTAGATATGCTCACTTTTAATTTTGGTAAGAGCAAATGAGCTACCTGAGAAAAAAAATTTGAATTAAATTACAATACAAAATAAATTGTAATATTTTTGGCTGCCGAGAAAATTCGAGCAAAGTTATTTCGTAAGAGGGTTTGTTTGGAAGTGACTCTGAAGTTATGCAGTACATTTCAATTGAGGATAAGTAAAAAGTCTTATGCTAGTTTTTGAAAAAGTTTAGAAAGTCGGTATTGACAGTGGCGGCGCCAGCCATTAGGCTCTGGGGGAGGGGGGATCAAGCAAATAATTGTAAGCCACGCCATTTTTACCACCAGATAAAGCGCTTTTACCAATAAGGAACGCCAATTTTCCCTGAAGGAAATGCCCATGATTAACTTTTGGTTTCGTTAAGGCTGTTTGAATATCATATAATTACGTCAGAAACAAAAATAATGATCACAAAAACCACGCTGTCAAAATATCACCTCCTTCCCTAACATTTTCTCATTGAATTAAGACGAGATGCAAAATTGATCCTGCCGAGAACAAAGGGGGCGTGTTTAAGCCCCCCCCCCTCCGTGGTGCCACTACTGTTTATGGATTTTCTTATCTTTCAAGAAACGCAATAATTTAACAGAGAACTTCCCTATCAATCTTCGGATACCGAAGCAGTGGGAGAGGAGCTAGGGGGGGGGGGGTGGGCTATAGCCAGCTCACAATTTGGCTGAATTATGATATTCAGGTAGTGACATCAGAAATAATGTGGGAAAAACCATAATAAAAGTTTGCTAATTTGTCTAGTCCTCCTCCACCCCCCACACACACACTCAAATGTGTGCTCAGGAGGCATCCCTGAACCTCACATCTTTAGCTAACTGTATCACAGTAATTCTGTAGGTGATTAGGCGGAGAAGTTCTCATTCTAATCTACGTTGTTGTCAGAACAACCAACGCAAATATTTTAATATGTATGTCTCATGTTCTTGGAATGAAAAATTCCCCGGCTTATCGACCAGGCCCCTCGCTAGCTATGTGCTCAAGGGGTGTTTTCAAGTCCCATTAGCCGACAAAGTGGATGAGCCATCCTGTATTTGCCGACAAGTTTGGAAATTTGCCAACCATGCACCCCTAGATGGCAAAAAACTCCTTGTTTTTGCAGTGGAATTATTCTTCAAGGAGGGTGTCACATCCCACGGACCCCCTCGAGCGACGGACCTTTTGTCAACCCAAAAGCCCAAATATTGTACATATGAACATGTTTGCACAGACACAACTTATGTGCATACACTAAACCCGTCTTTTGGAGTTTTTTCAAAGGTTTTCCAGGAAATGCTTGTCTTCCTGAGTGTAAAAAGACGTGATATCGTGTTTGACGAGAAAATACGCTCTTGCAGTAGCTTTGCAACCGAGAGGAAAAACTCCACCAAGAGCGCATGATAACACGCTTTTTTATGCAAGAACAATTTCATAAAAACACAAGCCTCAAAATCACTTAAAAGTTAAGAACAAATCAAGAACAAACTGAGGTATTGTAAAATACAATTTTTAACAACGTTTTATTTCAAAACGAGGATCTTTAGCCATAAATGGTGCTTCTTCGGTAAATATTCAAACTTGTCGGCAAATGAAGGTTGTCTCCCTCACTTTGTTGGCAAATGAGGCCTGAACACCTCCTTAGAGCGAAGAAGCTAGCAATAGCACTGCTTATACCCTCTTAATTTAGGAACAAATTAAGAACAATCCAGCCTCAGATTTTCGAAAAAATTAAGAACAGTCAGCCTGAACTTGAATTTTCTGGCTCTTATATAAAGAAAGTTGTGTACTTTTGATCCAAAATTTTGTAGTGTAGTGTTCATGTCAAGAATTTTGCATACACTGTACTGTGCCAAGGTTGATAATGTTCCTAGCTTGACCATTTCCAGGAGAGTTACTTTTTGCTGATAAAGGTTTATGATAACACGAGTATAGTTACCATTTTGTGAGCACACGTCTATGTGTTATTAAAAAGACAAAGAAATTGTAGATCTAAAGAAATTTAAATGGCTTTGCATTAAGCAACCATTTTGCAGCATTCTAAAGCTTTCCGTCTGAAATTTTTTATAAAATATCTGCTTTCTAGAAAACAAATAAATAGTGGATTTGGAAAATAAAACGGCACATTTTCACAGCATTGGCAGATCAATTACACTCTTTTTTTACAGGAACCAGTAAATTTAAGTTCAGGCTGACTGTTCTTAATTTTTTCGAAAATCTGAGGCTGGATTGTTCTTAATTTGTTCTTAAATTAAGAGGGTGTAAGCAGTGCTATTGCTAGCTTCTTCGCTCTAAGGAGGTGTTTAGGCCTCATTTGCCAACAAAGTGAGTGAGAAAGCCTTAATTTCCTGTAAAATTTGAATATTCACCGAAAAAGCACCCACACATCGCTAAAAATCCTCGATTTTGAGAAAAATCGTTGTTCAAAATTGCATTTTGCAGAAGCTCAGCCTCAGCTTGTTCTTAATTTGTTCTGAACTTTTGACCAGTTTTGAGGCTCGTGTTCTTATAAAATTGTTCTTATAAAAAGGAGTGTAACTCGTTTCTCGTCTTTATTTGTATGGCATTGTTATGTAGTTGTGATGCAAAAAGGTGCTAGGGGTGTGTGGTGTAATTACCCCTATTTTTTCGCATACATGTGCAAAAAATAATTTATCTAACATTTGATAAAAACCCACTGGGTAATACGTTTTCGATTCTTCTCAAGAGAAATT